CCTACAACCCAATAAGTTGTATAAGTTAATTGGGACCACTATAGTTCGGGGAGCAGCTGTTTCTGTAAATCAAAGTGTAGAAGACAAGACTAAACTCTAGCATCATAGGCTCGGGCACATAAGCCATAAAGGGTTGCAAGAATTACACAAGCAAGGTCTGTTGGAAGCGTGTCATCTTGCAAACTGGACTTCTGTGAATACTGTGTTCTCGGAAAGCAAAGAAAAGTATCATTTGCAACTAGCAGTGCAGATAACCGAAGCAAGGAGAAACTCAGCTATATTCACTCAAATGTTTGGGGCCCTGCACCAACTAAATCAAATGGTGGAGCCATGTATTTTGTTGCTTTCATGGTTGATTTTTCTAGGAAGGTTTGGGTTTATTTCATGAAGCAGAAATATGAGGTTTTTGCAAAGTTCAAGAAATGGAAAATAGAAACCAAGAATCAAACTGGAAGAAAGATCAAGTACCTGAGAAGTGACAATGGAGGTGAATATATAAGTAATGAGTTCACCGATTACTGCAACCAGGAAGGCATTATAAGGCACTTCACAGTAAAGAAGAATCCCCAACAAAATGAAGCTGTTAAGAGGATGAACCAAACTCTCATGGAGAAAGAGAGAGAGGAGCATGCGATTTCATGCACGATTGCCTGATAGTTTTTGGGCAGAGGCTGTTAATCATGCAAGTTATTTGATTAACAGGTCACCATCTACAATTCTCAGTTTTAAGAGTGCAGAAGAGGTATAGTTTAAGAAGCCGGTGGACTATTCCAAGCTCAGGGTGTTCGGCTGTAGTGCTTATGCACATATTCCAAATGATGAAAGGTCCAAGCTCAAACCGAAGTCTACACATTGCATATTCTTAGGTTTTGAGAAAGGAGTTAAGGGTTTTAAGCTTTGGGATTTCAACAACAGGAAAAAGGTTGTCAGTCAAGATGTTATCTTTGATGAGACAACCATGCCTCTGAATAAAGTCGAGAGCAGCAGGGAAAAGACGGATGATGCTAAAATTGAAGCAACAAAGATTCCATTAATCAATTCAAATGAAGAAGCTTAGGTGAAGCAAATCGAGCAAAAGGCCGAATATGATGGTTTTGAGGAAGAAGAAGAGCATCAACATCGTTCACTAGTTAGGAATTAGGTGGAGTAAGAAACAGGATAGATTGAAGGCATTCTAATCCACGAAACATCTCAAAGAGTTCGAACTTTAACCAACAATCCATCTGCATTCCAAAGATGCATAACACTGAACAAACCTAAGCGGAACAAGAAGAAACCTAACAGGTTTGGGTTTGACCAGGACGAAGTTAATTATGTTCTTAACATTAGTCAAGGAGATGCAACTACTTATCGAGAGGCTATAGCAAGTGATAAGCGAGATAGTTGGATAAGTGCTATGACAGAAGAAATGAAGTCTCTTTACAAGAACTCTATTTGGGAGTTGGTTCCTAAGCCCAAAGACAGAAAGCTAGTTGGATGCAAGTAGGTATTTAGGAAAAAGGAAGGACTTCATGAACAAGATGTTGTGAGGTTCAAAGCAAGGCTCGTGGCTAAAGGGGTACTCACAAAAAGGAAAGGGGGAATTATGATGAGATTTTTTCCCCTGTAGTCAAGCATACTTCTATCAAATTGCTTTTAGCAATGACAACTCAGCATGACATAGAGATTGAGCAAATGGATGTGAAGACAGCGTTTCTTCATGGGGATCTAGAGAAGACGATTTACATGGCTCAACCATAAGGGTTTGTTGAATATGGGAAAAAAACCCTAGTATGTCAGCTAAGGAAGTCCCTGTATAGCCTGAAATAGTCTCCAAGACAATGATACAAGAGGTTTGATTCATTCATGCTAAAAATCAAGTCTAGAAGATGTTTATATGACTGTTACATGTACTATCATGTGTTCCAAGATGGGATGATCATATTGTTATTGCTATGTGTGGATGACATGCTAATTGCTTGTCAAGACAAGTCTAGAATTGAAGACCTGAAAAAGATGTTGAGCGAAGAGCTCGATATGAAGGATCTAGGTGCTGCATAGAAGATCCTTGGCATGGAAATTCAGGGAGACAGAACCGCTGGAAAGATCTGGATATCACAAGCCAAGTGTATTCAGAAGGTTCTTGAGAAGTTTGATATGCAAGAAGCAAAGCTAGTTTCGACTCCTTTGGCGGCTCACTTCAGGTTAAGTGGGCAACAGTGTCCTACGTTCGAGGAAGAGCAATAAGTAATGAAGAAGGTGCCTTATGCTAATGTCGTGGGCTACCTCATGTATGTAATGGTATGCACACGTCCCGACATAGCTCAAGCGATCAATGTCATTTCCAGATACATAGCAAATCCAGGAAAGCAACATTGGGATGCAGTAAAGTGGATTTTGCGTTATTTGAAAGGTTCTTGGCGACAAAGGATTATGTTTGAGAGGCAAAGGAAAGTGCAGGGGTGTTAGGATATGTAGATGCCGATTATATAAGGGACTTGGACAAAAAAATGTCAATTTTTGGTTAAGTGTTTACATGCACAGGATGACCAAGCAGTTGGAGGGAACTACTGCAACCAATTACAGCTTTGTCAACCACAAAGGCAAAGTATATTGCATTGGCCGAAACTACAAATGAAGTGATTTGGCTTAGTGGCTTGGTAAGTCAAATGGGAATCACTCAAGATTGTGTGAAGCTTAAGTGTGATAGTCAAAGTGCCATTCACTTGGCAAACAATTAGGTTTTTTTTGGAAGATCAAAGCACATTGAAGCAATGTATCACATAGTCAGAGATTGGGTGGAGTCTAAGGAAATTTGGATTGAAAAGATTCATACGGATGATAATGCCACAGATTCCCTTACAAAGATAGTGCCGGTCGAGAAGTTCAAGCATTGCTTGAACTTGATCAATCTCGTTGATTATTTAAAGTGTAGCACCTCCTCACTTGAGGTGAAATGAGCTAAGGTGAAGACTCTTGAAGATTTCCAATACTGCTTCAAGAAGGTTCAAAGATACTCTGGGGTGCAATGATCAAGACTTGGTTTGACACACCAAGGTGGAGATTGTTAGGATTTTGGCTCGTCAAATATGTCCTAGTTGGTTTAGGATTGTTTTAGGAAACCTAGAGGTATACCGATTCTTGTCCTAGAGGGATTAAGAAAGAATTTCAGTTTTCTTATTCAATTTAGGTTTGGATTTCTAAAAGTCTATTTGAATTTGGATAAGTGTAATTTGCTAATCCACTTAGAAATAGGAATTCAATCAGTCTTGGGACATGTAAGCCAACCCTATGTCTATAAATAAGGTGCGGCTAGGTTGATTTTTACAGAAAAAAAGAAAACAGCCAGACAACCAAGAGTTTTGAGATTAGTTCTAGGGTTTGCAAAAGTTCTATACTCTTTATTATTAATCAAAGGAGCGGTGATTTCTCTACCTAGAAATCACAACTGGACTTAGGCAAAAGTTCTATCGAACCATTATAATTCTTGTGTGTTTCTAAGTTTTCTAATATTTGCTAGTTTAGTCTATTACCGTTGGTTACATTAAAGAACAAGGTCTAGTGTGTGGGTTTTCAATAGAAATGAGATTTGGTAGTTCTGCATGAAAAAATCTATAAAGAAGCAAATGAAAATTTAGAGGTAAATCTGATACTGCATATACTTTTATGTAAAACAAGATTCTACATGTACTTTGTGTGAAAAAAATATTCTGCATGTGCTTGTTGTGTGTTGTTTTCAAACAAAATATTAATAAACACAACTCTTAAACCTTTCACAGATGGACAACGCAAAATCAATTGAGGAGTCAGTCGAACAACGCTCAAAAGATGATGATGGCGACGACTTTGTCGATCCTCCACCTGCATCAAAAAGAGAAAAATGGAAAAGCACAAGAAGGAATCAAAAGCCAAGAAAGCTAAAGCAAGAAAAAAATTGGTGCTTGAACATAAAGATCATGAAAAAGATGAAACCGTAGTGAGACCTGCACAAGTAACCAATAAGGATGCCAAAGTCAAGAAAGATAAACCAGCAAAAAAATTGGTACTTGAACATGAACCTGAAGAAGATCAAAATATAGGGGGGCCTACACAACTTCCAGAAGATGATCAAGTTACTAAAGAAAAAAAATGATGACGATAATGAAAGAACAATATTAGACGGAATTGCAAAAGGTGATCTTGATGATGAGATTGATGACGTTTAACAGCAAGAAGAGGATGATGATGAAAGAACAGTTTCAAATGTGCTGGAAAAACGCGATGATCAAACAGATGATGAAAATATACAAATCCATGGAAGATAAAAACACAATGCCAAGATAAGCTCAAAAATCAAGACGATGACCCATCAAACAAAATGGCAAATCCAAAAACAAGCTAATTTTGCTTAATTTTTGTATGTATATTTTATATAAACTCATGAGTTTATCGTAAAAATATTAAAATGCCATCAACTGAATGATTCTGGTATAACTGATGCTGCATGCTAATTCTGGTATAACTAGTGCTGCATACTAATTCTGGTATAACTGATACTGCAGACTAATTTTTTATCACTGATAGTGGATACTAATTGTTGTATAAGTAATAATGCATGCTAAAAACTTATATAAGTAATGATGTGCACTAGAAAAAATATAAGAGCAATGTTGCATACTGATTCTTATATAACTAAAATAATGAATAATAAAATTTGATTCATATTCTTGATTCTCCTATAACAGTCAATGCATGATTATTCTGCTATAAACTGAAGCTTTGTGATTATAATCCATAATTGATGCTACATAATTATTCTGCTATAAACTGAAGCTGAAGCCTTGTGATTATAATCCAGAATTGAAGCTGCATAATTATTCTGCTATAAAACTAAAGCTTTGTGATTATAATCCATAACTGATGTTGTATACTAAATCTTTGTATAAGTAATAATCCATACTAATTCTTGATTTTGAATACTATTAGGAGGAAGAGGGTGGAAAACAATATGAAAATGAAGATCACTTTGACACACTAAGTGATAGTCAGAGTATCTTTGGCACCCAAATTCCAAATAAGTAAGTCCAAGATGACCAAAATGTTGCACATGATTTTGCCTATCCAACTGTTGAAAATGAAGAAAGAAATGCGGACATCAAAGACATGGACGCGACTGAAATTGATAGGGTAATCAATAATGTGGTTAATTTCCATAGAGAAAAGGTAGTATAAAAAGAGGCTCCAAGTACATCAATTGAAGAATCAATTCCTTTAGTGCAAGAAGTGGCAATGCAAAAAGAGCCTCCAAGTACTTCAATTCAAAAATCAGTTCCTGTAGTGCAGAAAGAGGGAGTGAAAGAAGTGGCTCCAAGCACCTTAGTTCCTCAAATCCCAGTTCACCCACATGGACAAGAAGCAAATGCAGAATTAGTCCCTCCACTACCAGTTCAAGCTAAGGAATAATAAGGAAATGCAGCACCTGTTTCTCAACTGCCAATTCACCCCGAAGAGTCAAGGAAGCAACAAACATTCTATGAATGGCTTCTTGCTCCACTTGTAGTTGAAGAAAAATGGGAATGTGAAATTTTAGAAGAGGAATTAACACAAGAAGAGCTCTCTCAAAGCCAAACAGATCCTGCAAAGTATTGGAAAATGAAGGTGAGACTTCAACTTCAGATGTTGAATAATGTTATCAACACATGCCACTTTAAGAATTTTGTAATTGAGAAAATTGTTCAAGAGAATGATGTTTTGCAAAAGGATAATAAGGACTTGCAAAAACAAAACAAGAAGTTGGAAAAAGAGAAAAAAGAATTGGAAAAACATTAAAATATAGTATAATGAATGAAATGAAAAATGAAACATAATTAATACATTAAAAATAGGAAAAATGACACTTAGAGTATACTTTCAATACTTAATCATATATTGAGACTACAGTTTTTAAACATTTCAAAGAAGGACATTTTTTTAAATCTGTGTAAGATGACATCATGTCCTATTTTCCCATTAGAAACAGAGTGATAGGAGCATATTTATGCGACTTAATTGGCTTGTTCTCATGCATTTATGTTGTATTTCTTTAGTTATTTTAGTCCTTTATGCCATTTTCGTGTGTTTCTAGGTTCATATGGCTAAGGAAGCAAAAAGGTGCATTTTGGAGCATTTTGGAGCAAAATTGGGCTTGGAATGGATAGCTTACGTTTGGAGCAAAAGGAATGGACGAAATTGAAGAGGATTCCTAATCAAATGAGGAATCGTAGTCAAAGAAGGTTTCCTACTTCAAGTAGGAAAGTTAAGCCAAGGTTTCCTATTTTGGGTTTAATCTTTCCTAGAGCCTTAATGACTCAATATTTCAGCAATATCAAAGGTTCCTACCTATTCTAGGTCACAAAACTTGCAAACTTAAGCCATGCCGTGAGTCCCTTTGTGTCTCCCTTCCTTGCCGTGCAAGGAAGGGCCGGGCCTTGTTTCCTGTTTTAAACCATTTAAACACATTCCTTTTTCATACCAAGCTCAGCCATAATTCACATACCCTTTTCTATACCAAAATTCTTCCCTAATTTTGTGAGCCTTTGATTTAATAAGCTAGGGTTTTATTTTCTATAACCCTATATAAACTAACTTCCAGCCGCACCCTAGCTCTATTATTCATTCCATCTCAGATTTTCACCCTTTATTTTCACCCTAGCCGACCTAATTCATGCCATCCATTCATTCATCAAACCATCTCAGCCATTCACTCAAAAACCCTAAACTACAACCTTGCAGCCGTACCATATTCTCATTCATTCACATATTTTCATTCAGCCACATGCTCTCCCATCATCATTCCACACCTCTATTGCAGCCACCAACCAACCTAGCTGTCATCCACATGCTCTCCCATCATCATTCCCTCTTTAATCCATTCAGCCACATGCTTTCCCATTTGATTATTCAGCCACATCCATGCACTCTTTATGATGGCAGCCACATTCTCTCCCTAGCTGTCATATTCCCTCTTTAATCATTCAGCCACCTATAAATAAACATCCATTGCAGCCACAAAACAACCATTATTCATTCACCATTCACGCCAGAAATTCATCCCCTGTCTATAACACATCCATACTTCACCATTCTTCATATTTTCTGCCCAAAAATAAGCCTTGCCATCCCCTACATCCATCCCTATCCTAAACACATCATTCTACACCATCCATAACCCCAAAAATTCACAACAAACCCTTGTGCCGCAACAAAGAGGAGGAGAAGAGGGCTTAAACGTTCATACAATTCAAGTTTGAGTTGTTGGAATTTTTAGGTGTTTTCCTCTCCTTGATTTCAATGGTTAAATTTACTTATCTTTGTCTTGTACGTATGAGGAACTAAACCCCCCTTGGCTAGGGGGGATTCGAAACCATGATTATGCTTGCTATATGATTTGATTACCTCTAATTGCGTTTCATAAGTTGTGAATTCAATTTACTTATCTATTTGAATTAAACTGATTTGTGTGTGTTGGTTGAGAGCGCACGCTTAATTATCATGCGTAAATCTAATGCTAGGATATAAGGAAATTTCTCCTAATCGTTACAAACTTATATTCACAAGTAGTAAAAGTTGATGACCTCAATTGCGTTAAGTAAATTCTTGGCATAAGTTTCATGCAATTCATAGTAACGAATGCTTCGTCAATGCTTATGGTTTTCAAAGAACTTAATGATTCTTGCTTGTATCTCTATTATGCAATTCATGTAGGGAACTTGTGGGGAATGCTTTGGGTTGTCGTATGCAATCATCTAATTCAATAACGTTACGAAAATCTGAGGGTTAATTAGTGCAATTCACGGTTAATCTGGGGCGTTGAGAATTCATGGGTTATTGAAAAGCAATTAGAAATCGTTTTGTGTGCAAGTATGGCATATGTGGAGATGAACCCCTTAGCTAGCTTCCATTCCATTCATTAAATCCAAATTCGTTTTAAAATCTGTTCGTTTTACAAAGTTTTAAGTTTTGTTTTCAAATTCGTCAAAAACTCAATCCCCCTTTGCTTTAGTGTCCAACTTAGTTAGAAAGTGTCTTAGTTTGTGTTTCTAAGTGTTTTGATTCATTTTATTACCCAATTTCGTCCAAAGTAGTCAAAGTGCTCAAAACTGCCCAGAAAGTGTTTTTAAGGCAGTTTTGAGTGTTTTAGGTGTTGTTTGAGTCTTTTGGTTTGTTTTAGTGTTTTAAGTGTTTAGTTTTGCATTCTTTGAGTCTAGTTTAGTGTTTTAAACTTTACTTTACGTTTTTGAGTCAGTTTCCAAGTGATTTTGCAATCCCTCCTAATCCTCGGTTAAGAACGATCCCTACTTATACTTATACTACAATTGTCACAAGAGGGTTTTAATTTGTGTGCTTATTTAGTTAGCATCAAATTTTTGGCGCCGTTGCCGGGGATTAGCAACTTCGCTAATCCCTTGGATTGTTTTATTTTGGTTTGTTTTATTTTATTCCAGATTCTTAATCTTGTTTTGTTTCTTGTTTTAGGTACTAGTTTATGACTCGGAGTTCGCATCCGATTCGTGAACATATCTTGGACTTTGACGACGATTTCGAGCGAGAGTTGAGACGAAAGAGAAAGAACCCAGAACCTAGCGAATCAAGTGAAAGTTCCGAGTCCGTTTCTGAATTTGAAGAAGAGGAACCCACGGCAATAGTGGGTGAAGTAGACATGGCAGCGGACAACCGAACAATCAAGAAGCTTTCCACTTCAGGATTGGACAATGCCGCACCCCTATGTATTCAATATCCTAGGGCGGCTCCAGACAAGACTGCCGAGTTCGAATTGAAGTCAAGTTTGTTACATCACATTCCGAAGTACCATGGGCTGTCCATGGAAGATCCAAACAAACACTTAAAGGAGTTCGAAGTAGTTTGTTCGAGCATGACCCCGGTGAATGTCGATGGAAGCATCTTGAAGATGAAAGCTTTTCCATTCTCTCTAATGGATAAAGCTAAAGATTGGTTGTATGAATTGGCTCCCGGAACTGTCACATCTTGGGAGAGCATGAAACGGGCTTTCTTGGACAAGTTTTTCCCAACTTCTCGTGTCATCCTCCTACGAAAAAGGATAAGTGGAATTCAACAAGATGAAGGTGAATCTTTTCCTACTTATTATGAACGTTTTAAATCTCTTGTTGCTTCATGTCCACAGCACCAGATGAAGGAGGAACTTCTCTTACAATACTTCTACGAGAGACTTTTACCAATCGAACGTCAAATGCTAGATGCCTCAGCGGGAGGAGCCTTGGTGGACAAGACCCCTACGGCTGCAAAGACCTTGATTGCTAATCGAGCATTGAACGCTCAACAATACGAAGGCGTTGGACAGAGGAGTACCCCACGGCAACACTAAGTTAATGAGGTAAGTGCCATAACCGAACTTCAAAATCAAATGGCTAACCTCACTACTTTGCTTTCTCAGGTGATGGACGGTCCAAAAGTCCAAACCGTAGCTTCTTGTGGTATGTGCTCCATGCAAGGACGTCCCACGGATAAGTGCCCACAATTGATCGAGAATGGAAGGTGGGAGACACTCAATGCCGTGGGATATGGGAATCAATACCAAAATCGTGGTGACCCCTTCTCTACTACCTACAATCCCGGTTGGCGTGATCATCCAAATTTCAAATGGCGGGATCCTCAACAACCCCAACAACAAGGAGGATTTAGGCAGCAACCACCGGGCTTTTATACAAAGCCATTCGTCCCCAATCAAACTCAATCGCAATCTACCCCAGCAAGCTCAGGTATGTCTTTGGATAATGATCAAGTTGTTAAGTTACTTACTACTTTGACGCATGAAGTACAAACTCAAACTAAGGAGAGGCAAATCCAAGACAAAAGGGTGGGCAATTTGGATAAGCAATTGGGGCAAATTGCCGAGTTCATGGGACAATTTCGAGAGCAAGGTAGGTTGCCAAGTTCAACCGTGGTCAATCCAAAGGGAGGGTTCGAATCTGCCAAAGCAATTACTTTGAGGAGTGGAAAAGAAGTTGGCACTACATCCACACCATCCAAAACAAGTCCTAATGAAGACGAGACGTTGCAACATGAAGAGGAGACTAAAGGGAAGCCCACGGCAAGGACACAACTTCCATTGCCGCAAGCCCAAAAGGACCAAAACTCATCCATGCCATCTCATTCGGCCACCAAAGGTAAGTTGGGTTCAAATTTGATTAATTCTAACCCCATTCCACCTAATGTTCCTTTTCCTCACAGATTTTTGCAAACAAAGAAGGAGGAGCATGAGAAGGACATTCTTGAGACGTTTAGGAAAGTTCAAGTCAATATCCCACTCCTAGATGCCATAAAGCAAGTGCCCAAATACGCTAAGTTTTTGAAGGAATTGTGCACTACAAGGAAGAGGGCGTCACACAAAGAGGTAGTAAGGGTAAGTGAGAATGTTTCCGCTGTTTTACAAAGAAAGTTACCACCAAAGTGCAAAGATCCAGGTAGCTTTACAATCCCTTGTATTATTGGTCAAACTAAGTTCTATGTTAGATTTAGGAGCTTCAATTAACGTCATGCCATACTCTATTTATGCTTCAATGAACCTTGGTGAATTAAAAAATGATGGTGTGATTATTCAGTTTGCCGATAGATCTA